AATGTGAGTGTCAATAACTGCGACATACCTATAAAATTGAGCCTAGTTATTGACACTTATATTTTATTAATAAAGCTTTATTTAATATGATATATTGATTTTTTAGACTAAATAATAGTTCATTATTAAACAATTTATATATATTTTATTATATTTTTATACTTATATAATGATTATTTCACTGATTGAATCGTCGAACGCGCTTCCGTAATTTGCTTAGACCATAACTAAAAAATGGCTTCCGCAGTCACTCCACACTTAAAGATTTTTTTTATTAAGTTTTCTTATTTTTTATTATTGTGCTTGTCATTAATTAGGTACAGAATAAATTTATTTTAATTTTTAAAAAATTTATTAACTCACTTAAGATCTTTTCTTTGTTTTAATTCAACATAAACCTAAAATTGTCAGAAACTGAGCCAGTGTCAATAACTGGGTCTTTTACCTTATAGAAAAAATTACTTCTCAACTGTTCGCAGTTATGATTTACTATTTGCCAGGGATGAAAACACAGGAAAGACTTTCTTAATAGCTTAACTTTTGTTAATTCGCATAATTCGATCGATTCGAAAATAAAAAAAAATCATAAATTATTTTCTAATGGGGTCGTACGTTTTCTGTATACATTTACAAAGATCGGTATCGATTAATCAATGAATTGAACAAAAATGGAAAACACGTAAATGGCAAATGTGTGGCAGTTGTATTGGTACGGAAAGGAGTAGGCAGGGAAGTAACTTTTTGCGCATCAAGAAGGATGAAAAGGAAATACGGAAGCTTCATCATTTCCCTTTTGAATGAGTAAATGAGTCAGAACTAACGACACAAAAGAATTTTTCTCTGTGAGCCATCTGGTCTGTTCTACACCATTTTCGTAAAAATTTATGAACTCCCGAACAGGATATATTGGCAACATAAAATTAAACCGATAGAAGGTGCTCAATTTTTTATGCGGTTAGGCCGTGAGGGGTGAAATTCAGTAGACAGTAACGTTAAAAAATAAACTGTACCTTTTGAATACTTATCTAAGGAAATGTGTTTTAATAAATCCTCTCAATTGTTTTCTCTTGAAAACCAAGACAATATCAAAAGCAAGAAATTGAAAGAACTTTCCCAATAGCATTTGAAATAAAAAAGTTGTAATTAAAAATCGAAAACAATTTTATTGAGAAATACTGAAATTATATTAAAATGAATGTGATACTTGAATTTACAATGTTCGACTTAGTATCCAGTCTTACACGTCTAAAACTGAAAACAAAGAAAATACATGCTGGTCAACTTTGAGGTACCCTTGGCGGAAAAACTAGCCATGGAATCAAAAAACGTACCATTAAAACACTACTACTATTTATTTCTGCAATTATCTCAGACGATTCATCTCGAAGGATAATTTGCATTAGAGTGATACTTCTTTCTTTTAATCATGAAAATATTTTATTGTGTGTTTTAGGGGCTACCTCTTTAAGATCTTTTGTGTAATTGACTCGCTTTCTTTATTATTAGACTCTATTTTTTATGGAATTCCCTAAAAATCAAAGATTTAATTTGCCTTACCGAAATCCTCTTCGTAGATGATCGCGAATCTGGTCCAGTTTAAAAAACTCATAATATCTTGGAAGGCGAGATTGAGCAACTTTTGTGCGGGGTAGAGGTTAATTGAAAATTCCCTGGAGTCAGCTTCGGGATCCAGGCGCACCTCCAGGTGCGGGATGTCGAGAGCGTCGCAAATTGAATGAATGTGGGATGCTAGAAGGGGATCCGAGGGGCCGAATACGGCATGTACACCCATGCGAACTTGACTGCATGCTATAAAAAATTGTTTAGCTCATTTAAGGGTAGCATAGGATAAGTTAGGTTAAAGGAACTCCCAGAGAATGCACTATTAATTCACTTTACCCGATTCACTATTACTGTATCCATAATCATAGTTTTCTTTTTTTTTTTTCAAAGTTTTCATTCATATATACCTACGATAAAGATGGTTTAAGCGGTCGCAACAGTCCTTGTTCTTTTGTTGCTGCGAAAAGGGGCAAGTTTCTTCTTCTGCCTCATCGTAAAGGAAGTATCAACCGCGCATCATTTACGTGAACGACCTAATGGTATGTAATTTTGTCAATACTGGTTGATACATAAAAATCGTCCAGTTCATTTTGAATAAAGGACAAGAGTTTTATTGTTAACTTTAGTAATTACTGCTACTATGAACGGATTTTTTGGTAAAGATTTGATGAGATATTTTTTGAAGTAAATATACGAAAATCAAAAGTAAAGACATCATTTTTAATGGAAAATTGTTTCAGTTGTTGTTCTCTTCGTTACAAAAGTATTTTCCAGGGTGTAAATTTTCCACAATTTCAATATAGGAATAAAAACGTTGAACAATGTACCTAATAAAAAAATTAAGTGCAAATATTTTTCCAACAAATGTGCCATCACTATTGTTCGTACTGATACGTACATATTAAAGTTGTTTTGAGTTATGAGAATAAATTGGTTAATAATCCGGATTATATGTAACACGAAGTAGTGACAGACAGATTAATATCCTGTCGAGGCATGCTATTATGAATGCGTACTTTTTAGCTTTTTGAATTGACAGATTGTGCTATAGTTTATGATGTGTATTTCGAGAAAATATTTTACCGAAAAGCTCTGAGGATTTAGAAGTGTTTATTCGGGAAACAGTTTTGATATGTGATGGTTTTATTAGTGTTTGGATTTATGAGTACCTACATGATCAGCTTTTTGTGTTGTCATTAACAATTTATTCACATAATTAGGAGGTTAAACTATGTTTTAATCATCTTAATTATTTATTGTTTATAAATGTCAAGTATTAAAGTCGATCAACAGTAAGGGGTAGAACACCGTTTGATTTCAGAGGAATAATTGTGAAATTCAATAACAAAGTATTTTTATGGCCTCAAAAGTTTTAATTAAGTAACTTTACTTGCTGAGTTAATTAATTAAAAATAAAACCACAAGAATTGTTTTGTTACACGTAAATCTTTTATAGGTACTTATCTGTTTGATTAATTTACAGTTTTAAATTCTATTTTTTGTGCTAAATCTTTTCAGATTAACATTGATTAATTTGTGTAGGAAAATGTTTTAAGTAATGTATCTTTTGTATGATACAACCTCAAATAGTAGACTATTCATGGTTCACTTCTTGATATTCTGTTAGTATAGGGTTGCCATCCGTCCGGGTTTCCCCGGATTTATCCTAGTTTAGAGAGCATCCGGGGAGCGTCCGGGGAGGGTGGGGTTCATTTGTAATCCGGGTTTAAAAATTTAAAGTCTTGGTCCGCCCGCGACACGCACTATGGTCGCACATCACGATCAACCGACGAACATAACAAAGTATATTAATAATTTGTGTTTTATTTTAAGAATAAAAAAAATCTAACTGATTATTAAAGCAATTTGTAACAAACTGTAATAAGATTCTGTTTGGTAGGTACATTTAAAATGATGATAAAAAATGACTAAATTTAATTTTAAGGTCTGAAAATAAATAAAAAGGTGATTTATGGCATTTCAACTGTTTTTTATTACACTGACTATATTTAAAAAAACCTGTTGACATGTCCGGGTTCTGGACTCTAAAATCCGGGATTTTCACGCTTCTTGTCCTGGTTTCCAAATTTTAGAGATGGCAACCCTATGTTAGTACCACAAATAGGTAGGTTAGGTTAGATTTTTTATATTAAATTTTTGGGGTTTGCTCTACCTTCTTTCTAAAATTACAGAATTTTATGGGAAAACCTCAAAAATTGATTTCTTAGAAGATTAATTATGTTTATGCACTCCCCCTCTCTCTGGGGGATAATTTTATTATACTATCCACCTCCGTGCGGGAGGAAGCCAACCCATTTTACTTTTAAAGTTATTTACATATTTTTTTCTCGCATTTTACTGCTCTCCTGTATAGACGGTATATAATTAAAAATTATTTATAGACAATAACAACGTATTAAATCGTACTTCAAATGGAAGCTTGGCTGTTTTACTTGGACTTGGCGCGACATATTTCGTTATTATTTCTCTCACGAGCGTTTTTACAGGGCACAACTCGTAAAAATATCCTCGGGGATGCGATTTCGTTGGCAATTGTTATTCCTTCAGCTTGCCTGATCCAGGGGGAATCTCACTGACTCGCTTCCTTAAAACTGAACAATAATAACGTCTCGATGGTACTCTACTTTCTTGGCATTTTCTTATAATGTCGTTTTTTTAAATCTATTTTATGTGTGACATTTACAGGTGGTAGAACATAACAGCGTATATATACATTGCTTCGTTTCGTACGTTTTTGTTATTCACCCATTTCGTGTACGTAGTTATTTTCCCTTGAGATGAAGCTCTTGCTTAATGGCTCGTTCTAGGAAATTCGGATCGTAAAAATAAGAACGTGTAGATGTAAATGTAGGCCATCAGTATTAGGAGTATAAACGACAATTTGGATAAAACGAAACAGTTCTTTTAAATTCTTTTTGTTATGGCACGTTTTAGACTGGATATCTGTCGAAAGCGTCGGGAGCGGATTATAATTTCGATCTCTTTGGATTTCATCAGCACGCCCTAGATAGTTTCTACAGAACAGCGACCAACAACGTTTATCGAATAAGTACATACAGTGCGATGAACGCCATCTGTAGAATAGTAATGAGCTCACAAATTTCTACAGATTACATGCTGATGGGATTCAAAGAGATTGAAATTATGATCTGCGGTTTCCACAGCCTTTCCAGAACTTCCTTGGTCTTCAGTTGTGATCAAATTTTATAGAAATAAATAATTTATTTACTTTTATTTAAACACTTTGCGTATTAAGTAGGTAGTGCAATGTTAGGAATTAATGGTCTTTAAGATTTACCTTTTTTGCACGCATGAAAGCTATCGTCTTTTTTGACGTATTGTATATCGTACACCAGATTTGTTTTGGGTAAAAGGCTTCGATCTTTGTTGATTTTATGGACTGCATACTTGAAAGCAATTTCGACGCTGCCGTTTCTTTCCTCTTCCGTAAATATTGCTCCTGGAACAAAATGAACTGCAGTTACGTTGCAAGTATATAAAATTTTGCGAGACATAAAAATATGTGACATATAACGAAATGCGAAAATTAATTTGACGAAAATCCCGATGTTGGATGATTAAAATGACCTAATTTTTGAAGATGTACTTCTTTTGGTGTTCTTTTAATAAGCAACGGAAGTTGCGCGCGCAGAATGCGACGGAAATTGCGTCATAGCTCAATCATAATCTAAAATATTGTTTAAATAAATACGTACATTGCTGTTATTATGCATATATACCAATGCAATGTGCTTATAGCATAATAACTTTTTCCAACACGTACAGAAGTACACAAAACCTCTTTTATTTAGATTTTTGTTTATAGTACCCTATAGAAGGGCTGAGTATAAGCTGAATTCATAAGATGAAGGTAAACTGATACCTTAGGCTATTTGTTCAATTTTAACAGTAGAGTGGAAGCTCTTGTTGCGGTAAAGTTTTCATTAATTTTGAAACACAACATAAAGCGTTTCTTTTAAGTCAGTTTAAAGAAAAAACAGAGAAAAGTTGTCTGATTTTTTTCAAAAAGGGAACTGTCGAGTCCTTAAAAATAAGCACATGTTCTACTACTTGCGATTATAACTTGAATTTTTTTAATATACTACTTACTAGTACGAGATTTTCTGGGATAATTGGGAATTTTGAATCGGTGACAGTTAATTTAAGAATGTAATGCTTCCTTTGAGTTAAAATTTTAACTTTAACAATTGGTTTCAGAATTAAAAAAGGGAATATGTTCTCATCACTTATTTCCAGAAATAAAATATTGGTACTAAATATTATAATATTTACAAGATAATTTACCAGGTCAATTGAAAAGTCCCCGGCCTAACACATAGATGGCGGCACCAGAACTAAATCCATATGATTTTCAGTTAGTCCTAACCTTCAAAAGACGCGTCTATAAATTTGACGGCTGTCGGATGATTAGTTTGTGAATTATAGCATTTTTAGTGAAGCAACTGTTGTTATTGGGGAAAAAATGGATAAAAAGGAATTTCGCGTGTTGATAAAATATTGCTTTTTGAAGGGAAAAAATACAGTTGAAGCAAAAACTTGGCTTGATAACGAATTTCCGGACACTGCCCCAGGAAAATCAACCATCAATGATTGGTATGCTAAGTTTAGACGTGGTGAAATGAGCACCGAAGACGGTGAACGCAGTGGACGCCCAAAAGAGGCTGTTACGGACGAAAACATTAAAAAAATCCACAAAATGATTTTGAATGACCGTAAATTGAAATTGAATGAAATAGCAGACACTCTACAGATATCAACGGAACGTATACATCACATCATTCACGAATATTTGGGTATGAGAAAGCTCTGTGCAAAGTGGGTGCCGCGCGAGCTCACTTTTGACCAAAAACAACGACGAGTTGATGATTCAGAGCAGTGTTTGAAGATGATCACGCGTAATAAACCCGAGTTTTTGCGTCGATATGTGACAATGGATGAAACATGGCTCCATCATTTCACTCCGAAGTCCAATCGACAGTCATCGGAGTGGACTGCACACGATGAACCCGCTCCAAAGCGTGAAGAAACGCAACAGTCGGCTGGCAAGTTTATGGCGTCTGTATTTTGGGATGCGCGTGGAATAATTTTCATTGACTACCTTGAAAAAGGAAGGACCATCAACAGCGACTATTACATAGCGTTATTGGACCGTTTGAAGGACGAAATCGCCGAGAAACGACCGCATTTGCAGAAAAAGAAAGTCCTGTTTCACCAAGGCAATGCACCGTCACAAGTCAGTGAAAACGATGGCAAAAATTCATGAATTGGGCTTCGAATTGCTTCCGCATCCACCGTATTCTCCAGATCTGGCCCCCAGCGACTACTCCTGTTCTCAGATCTTAAAAGAATGCTCGTTGGGAAAAAATTTTCGTCGAATGAAGAGGTAATCGCCGAAACTGAGGCCTATTTTGAAGCAAAGGACAAATCGTACTACAAAAATGGTATCGAAAAGTTGGAGGATCGCTATAATCAGTGTATCACCCTTGAAGGGAATTATGTTGAATAAAAAAAACGAATTTTGCAAAAAAAATGTATTTTACTATTTTAGGCCGGGGAGTTTTCAATTGACCTTATTAAACATTAAAGTTTCTGCGTTAAACGGTTTCAATGATAATGGGGAATGACAAAGACGCAGATAGCCAGAAGGCAGAACCGAGGGACGCATGATCTCATGTGGGTTCCGATATGAGGTATTGGAATCCTACTTGTAATTATTACATTCCTTTCATTTCTTATCTTAATCAGAATCCTTGTCTTATAAAAGATATCCTGTGTTTGCAAAGTCATTTAAGAGAACGAGGAGGGATTTGTGTCATGGTCATCAAAGGCGTGACCTTGTTTTTACTGTAAAGCATCTTTGCCACGTGCGCGCCAATTTAAATAACGCGAACCTTGGGAAACAATGTACGGCTTCGTCACATTTTCCGCTGAATCGGTTAAATGGTTCATTTCCAACTCCAATTAAGAAACTGCCTGCTTGCTAGTCTTTCCATCACCCGACGCCCAAGCGAATAACCCTAAACCCTAAACCAACACGGGAATGACCGTTGTGATGTGGATATCAAAACTACCTATAGCCGCACACTTTTTGTGCGGGTCGGAAAGTTTATTAGCAGACGCTAATTGCTTAATTAACCGTTGTTCACTAATTAGTAACCGCCCTAACTCATATAGTACTGATAATGTTTCTTTTTATGTCTAATTTAACGGTAAAATAGATCAGTAAATGGGCTTCAAAGCGAGAGCAGGGACAATAAAACGTTCAAATATTTTTAATCTTTTATGCTCTTGTACTCGTACATGTGTTTATATCACTCTAATTTATTTATATCACTGATCAGCTGAATTCGAATTCTCCCGAATAGTCTTCAATCTTCTCGAAAATTCTGGAACTCCTATTGTTAAGCGGCAAATATGTGTCAGTCAGGGTATGATTTATTTGCGTCGGTCATCGATCGGTCTCTGCCCGCGGGCATACTCAAGAACCGTCCGGAATCAATCTATTGATTGATCACACGCACGTGTTTGCACGTAACATTATATAAAATATTTCAGTTGGTAACATTTCATTTTTTTTTATTTGATTCACAATCTACAATAATCAATCAATATTGATGGAATATACGTTCAGCTCTGTTTATGGATTTAGTTCTGATTTTTATTTCTAAATAGTATTCAACTTAATCGTAAGGATTATCTTTTTTTTATCTGATCCGATGGTGTAAAAATATGTTCTTGGAATGTTCGTTATAGACAAAAAACAGAGGTGCTATTATTTGCAGACTCATCGAAGCGAGATGTCAGCTTGAACTAATCTGAAGTTAGTCTTCCCTGATAATAAAAGATCCATCAATGATTTACTGAAGTGGGTAGCGGTAATAAAATTTGATGACCGAATATAATTAATGGAAAATAAAATTATATTTTCTCTGGATGTACGTATGTGTTTAATTGCTCTTTTCCTGTCTGCTCCATTAATTTTTGAAAGGGTTTCGCCTTGTTTGATCGTGTCGACCTTAATTTGAAATGTTAAAATTAAGACTGACGTAAAAAAAAATTATCAGAAATTATCTTTAAGTTAGTTAACCTCTATAACTGTTTTACGATTGCTTTTTGGTAATACGTTGCTGTTGGCTTGCGAAATCGATTAGTAGAAGAGTCCTTTAACGTGAAGAAGCACTTTTCAAAGGGCGTGGGCTAATAAGGGGCTTTTCTTCGCTCATGCTGAGCTCCAAGGAGTACCTTTTACAATAACTCGATATATAGATTCTTATAGAAAATCCATAATACTTTCTGTGTCCAATATGTCTATAACAATAACTAATCCCCCATGCTCCAGAAGTTGTTCTACCACTCCTATTCCTTATCGAATTTCATCAGGCCCTCTGTTCTTCTACATTTTCTAATATCTCCTCATTTCTAATCTCTTCACTGTAGGTATTTTTGTCATCCGTCAAAAATACCGCATCTCAAGCGCTTTTTACTTTTTGATTTTAGTCGCACGCATTGTCACATTTTGCACCGGTACATAACCTTGAACCAAACATAAATTTTTAAAAAAATCTTGAATTTCCAAATTAATCGCCTGTGATCCCAAAAGGGTTAATGTTTCTTTAAATATGACTACACCCCTCATTGCAAAATTTTTTTTTCTTAATTAATTTGAGGTAATTTGTAGTGGAAAAATTAAAAATAAAAGTGAATTTTGATTATTAATATTTAATGTTAACCACTAGGACTTTAAATGAGTTTCAAATAGTAAACGGTACAATATGAGTTACGATAGTTTTATAATGCAGAATTGTTTAGTGTATTCCTTGGTGATTACCTACCGATTTTAATAATTGGTGGTAGTGCTAGTGCTGCAAGAATTGTATGGGCGAAACCAAATATGGCCCAGCAGATGCCAAACTGCATGGCTCATCTCGGTTTCTCTAGATCCTGTTATTCGTCCACAATTGAATCTGAAACAAGAACTGATTTTATTTCTCTTAATTAAAGGATCTTATTTATGGATACATAGAAAATACCACAACAAGGTCCATTTGTATGGATATCTACTTGCTGAAACGAATCCCGACGTAGCTAACCACTACGTGATAGGCACGTTCCCATATTCGAATAAAATAATTCGAAGTGGTCTGTATTCTGTCGAAACTGCCGGACGCGGATCGCGATTTCGATCTTTTTGGATCTCACCAGCGCGTCGCAGGCAGCTCCGGCAGAACACAGACCAACTTTTACCTGCTATCTTAACAGCGCGTTTTAGAAAATACCACAAATGGCGCGGTAAACGCCATCCGTAGTGCGATGCTACATTTTAGGATTACGTATGCTCCAACAAGGTCCATTTAAATATATGGATATCTACTTGCTGAAACGAATCCCGGCGTAGCTAACCTCTACGTGATAGCCACTTCACCATAATCGAATAAAATAATTATTTATTACGTGGCTATCAAGTTGAGGTTAGCTACGTCGGGATTCATTTCAGCAAGTAGATACAGATGGCGTTTACCGCGCCATTGACGGTATTTTCTAAAACGCGCTGTTAAGACAGCAGGTAAAAGTTGGTCTGTGTTCTGTCGGAGCTGTCTGCGATGCGCTGATGAGATCCAAAAAGATCGAAATCTCAATCGGCGTCTGGCAGTTTCGACAGAAAAATACAGACCACTTCGAATTATTTTATGGATACATAGTTTGTAAAGGATGTGTTTTTTGATCGACAATTTCAAATTTGGTCGGGCAAGGGTAAACAATTTTTTCATGTTTACCACATGTTCATACAATGTCGGTAAATATTTTACAAACAGTCCCTGAACACGCTCCGAATGTTTGTACAGTGTAGATGGAAAGTGTGTTTATTTTCCGATGTAAAACGGTTTTGCGTAGATACTAAATGCCTTTTCCGGAAAATAAATCGAAATAGAAGACGAGTTGTGAATGTCCCCGGGGACCATCAGGAAAAAATGCGGAAACGGACAATGACAAATGGCGGAATATTAAACAAAAAAAAAAAAAAACTATTACCACCAAACCATTGTGCAGTTTTAAGCACGGATTTCTGGCGTTTTTCGAGCGAGAATGGAAATGCAAAAATAGTTTCGTTTTGTTTCGTGGTGTAAACAATTGTTATTTTCATATACTCTTTAAAGTTACGTTTATACTGGGAAAACATTATCTCAAACGACAATCTATTGCTACGTTAAGCGAAACATATGAAGGTTTAGAAAGTTCTCTTTTTTAATTAGAGATTCGTAAAGGATTGGTATTAAGTATGTAGACTGAAAGGGGTGGTTTTCTTTTAGAATAGTCCAATAAAAAAAAGACAATTTGAAGTGGCATTTTCTAGTTTTTTTCTATTAGTTTTTTTGTAATTTCTTTGATTTGATAAAAGGGTGCCATACGATAATATTGAATACTTTTTCAAGTATTTTAAAATAAATATGTAATGAATTTCACGTCAGTACATAGTCTGTATAGGTAGGCAATTTTAACAATAAAAAAAAATAGTTTTATGCTCAAGATCGGCTAATTCGGAAATTGGTAGAAAAATATTCTCGGACATGAAAGGTTACTGAGAAACATATAAGAAACAGAAACAGGAGTTAAAAGGGGCAGATGCAAATCTAGGTTACATTACTGATCCCAAATAGTTTGCTGAAGACTAAGTGATGATGAATATATTTCTTCCACTAGGAACTGTGTCCTATTTCTATAGTGTTGCACTTTGAATTGCGTGACGATATTTTCTAAATGTCTGCCTTTGGTGTATTTTCATTTTTTAAAGGTAGTACTGTATGCACGCATTGAACCGAGTGAGAAACCAGACAAAGAAATGGCATGTTGTGAAAAATTAAGTTAAGTGAATAATACCGTTAGGCATTATAAATTTACTTTAAAGAATCAACATTACGGTTTTAATTAGTCAAGCGAAGTAGGGTGCGAACTCTCCGTCTCCGTAGTAATTAGTGAGCTGTCTGTTCAAAATTAAGGAACGTAGGAACAAAGGTCCGTTATTGAGAGTGGCTTGCGAATCTGAACCGGTCGTTCGGAAAACGACCCGGTCGAATCGGCGGGAGACAAACAGAAAGGCGATAATTTTTTTAGAAAAAAAGTAGGTGCGAATCACTACCGCTGAGCCGCAAACAAAAGCCGTTGAAATTACGGTAGACTGCCTAAAAACAAAAAAGAAGTCTGAATCCGATATTCGGTCAACCTTGGGGCGTCCCTGACCCAAAATGGCGTTCTAACGGATGATCAAAATAAATTCATTACGGGTTTCTTATCAGGAAGGATATAAGAAGTTTTACGTAGAGGAGGGAATATAGGGACAGTTAGCCAATAGAATCTAGGCATCTACTACTACATCGCTTTCCTCCTTGAGTGATAAGCAAAATTGGTCTAGGTCACACACACACCTAATGTAAATAAGAATAACAATTTTGTTAATAAAGCTATTGTTATGTGTGTACCCGAGTAGAATTTATTTTTGGGAACAAATGGGGTTCCAAATGGGATACCCAAACGGTTCCCTATTGGAAATGTAACGCTTTCCCCACCTGGGACCCGGTAGGGAAAGACCTAACCTCAAATTTTCTTTTTCATGTATTAAAGATAACTCCCGATTTTTCACTAAATCTTCTGACACGTAAACATGTTCCCGACGTCTTTCTTGCGATGAGTTTGTTGGCGTGGTGCATAAATAAATTATTGAGAATATCGATGTTGATATACGAAAAAAAAAGGGTATGTCTAAACTGTTTTGTAAACTACTAGTAGTTTTATGGTCACAAACGCACGCTACCCCCACTTGCTCTTCAAAATGTTTTCTTGGGTTACAATAAAACAAGTCTAAGTATAGTAATACTAATATAGTTAGGGAAATCCCCATTGGGTCCTAATAAATACTTTCCAATAAATGGCTAACTGTTACATGAAAGTATAAAAATAATTATTAATAGGATACAGTAAATAAAATAACTATTTATTATTTATAAATTAAATAATTATTAATTATTCTTCAATAAGATTGTAGCTGAGAAGTGCAGTTTGGGCAAAGTTTGGGATTGCCCTAAAATACGCAGATCAAAATTCATTGGGTATATGTGGAAAATGCCCAACTTGGGTAAATTCAACAATCTCCAATAGGGACCCAATTGGAGTTAGGGAATTCCCAAAATAAATTCTACTCGGGTATCTATAAGAGATCTTTCTAAGAGAAATTTTCTCCAATTCTCAAATATTACCGAGATAGCAACAGGCAACTGCAACAATTTTACTTTATTGCTTTAGTATAAGTTTTCTAAAGTAAATTAATATCTTTCTGGAAAAAGAAAACTCAGACGGAAGGGACAATTTTTAATTTACTTAATTAGATTTGTCAAATTCAACAACACAGCTACGAAACGATTTAAATATTTACGACTGGGAGAGGATATTAAACATTAAAATTTCAATTTAAGAAAGAGGAAATGGAAACGTTTCCGGAAGCGTCTCATAGATAAGTCAAACGTCAGCTGTAGATGTTGATCAATCTTCATCTCGTAGCAATAATAATTACTAGTTTCCTTTTAGATCAAATGTATTTCGCACTTAGATATGAATGAATAAACCACAACTTGTGAATAATAAGAAACATGGAATTGTTACAATTGGAACCATCATACATATTTTGAAGTGTTTTAAGTATTGAAAATCGCTAGATATAGCACGGTCCAGTGTTAAAGGGGGATGTTAAAAACACTATAGATAGAAAGAGGATTAAACCAGAGAAAATATTAGAAAGAGGAAGAACAGAGAGCGTCATAGAAGTCAATAGGAAATAAATGATACAAATTTTATTTTTGTCATATTAGCGCGGAAAGCTCATTTTGCATGCTATGAAATAGGGAAGAAATGGCCTCTTTTCAGCCGTGTTTTAGTCGGGAGGCAATGAAATTCGTCTTTTCAGCGCATGCGCTGGTTTATGGGCATGCGCAGAAATCAGTTGTTCAATGACAACCTAACCTAACCTAACCTCTAAATTATTTACTCTTATTTCGCCAACTATCAATTTAATAACGAGCTTTCCGCACAAACATGACAAAAAATAGTGTACGTACCTCGAGAAGAAACAGGGCCTTCGGCTCGGGTGGCAATTCACATGCAGTCTGAAATAACCCTGTTTCTTCCCTCGATACGTAATGTACTATTCCTTCCAGAAATTTCGACATTCATCAAGTATTCAGTAATGATCAATAGACATTATTACAATAGTGTGTTGAATATTTTACTAATTGAGAATTTAGACTTATTAGCGATCGGATAAATTTAGACAAATTTTTACAAAAATTCATTTAGCTTCGTAACATTTAGAATTCCTCCGACGAATGAAAAATTGAAACAACGAGCGGAATCTGAAGATTTTTTCAGAAAAAAAAAAAAATTTGAAAGGGTTTAATAAATTCTTAACATTGTTCAAAAATAAAAAAGTGTACGTTTGTAGGTATTTAAAAATGTCTTCTAAGAAGAGTTGGAGAAAGAAGGAAAAAAAGAAATTGACCCTATAATTCCTTAAAATGTGAAGTTATTGCATCATTTAAAATTCCGTAATACGTCGCCAAATTCCATAAAACAAACGAACGGTGTCGTAAATCAATTTTTTATAGCCTCCATCTTTTACAAATTTATTCCGCAAACGGCCGAAGGAACGCATTTTACAGGGATATAATGTTTGCTTACGTAGACATTCTGGTAAGCGAAAGTGATAAACCACTTCGAATAAATTATTGTTAATATCACTTTTTGTGCCTAAGACGGATCGAATCTTCTGGACATTCGCATTTTTTCTAATATAGTCGACATCTGACGTTGAATATAACAAGAAAGCATTTCGTTGTCAAAAAGCGTCGCCTTTATTACTGGCTGTGTACTTTCCTCCATAAATTATTGTATCACACACGATTTTCTTCATTCGTCATGCTCTAAGTCTTAAGAAGAATTAAATTGAGATAGTGTAGGATGCGATCGATTAAAAAATTAGTTAATATATAATTTTACTGAAGGCACATATTCATTGAAATCTATCGTCAAGGGTTCTTCAAAGTGTCAGATTTTTCTTCTTTGGAGAAAGTAGAGAGGGACAAGAAAAAGAATTGTTATTGAAAATTTCTATATCGTATTTCCTGTATATTACAATTTTTACATCAAGGATTTCCTTTTACATATTTCAGTTCTATTTATATAACCTATATTAAATCGGCTATACTAAAATCGATTCATACATTCACAGAATGTTCTTGACTATTTCCAGAATGTTTGTTTGTCATGCAGTCTGCGTATGTCGTTTCGGTGTATGATTTATGGCAATGGGCCACCCGCATAAGAAGATTTAATCGTATCGATGGTCGCCCGCGGCACTCACTCACAACAGAATATTAATAAAATATCTATTTATTGCAAAAAATTATGCCTTTTATAATGGTCATAATTAACAGGGTATTATTATTCGATAAGATACAGAAATTTGGAATCATTAGATTATTCTAGACATTCGGGTTTTCTAAATATGGGTTACCTTCCAATTATTTATAGATGTGCAAAGTACAAAATCTTTTGGTTAATTGACTTTTCAAAATCGATTTTCTGTGTCAAATGTCTCTTGCAGCCCGGGCAGCTTACAAAATCCATTTACAAATTGTCTTAGTGTTTAAGTTAATTTGTTCCTAAACAAAACTTAAATTGTAAAGTTCGGGAAAGGAACCAAAATACAATTTCCAGCAGAATACAATTCATTTGAAGAAGACCCCGAGGCGTGCTAAACTTTGCAAATGTCTTTTCTTTTGGCTGAATGCTTTAAAAAAAAAATGATTCCTTCGCTGTTATCCATTTTTAAAACATTTCTTCGTGCATTTATAAAATCTTGCTCATTAAAACAGTACGGCGACGTATAACAGTGATATTTTACATATCTAGGATAAAGTTAGAAATTATAAAAGTATTTGCTACTCGTTAGGGTGCTATAATTATTATCACAGCGTGGATTTCTTCAGAATATTCCTTATTAAGCAGATACTTCGAAGTTTCTACTTGAAAACTATTTCCATCCCGTTAAAGGGGAATTAATTGGAAACTTCAGGATATGCTAATTATAATTATAGAATACACCAGTGATATATATATATATATATATAGAGGAGATAAATTATTGCAAAGGTATGTCTTGGATTTTTATTGTTAGGTGAGGATGCAATTAATGCCAGAACTGGCCGACAAGGGTTTCCACAGTTTTAAGAACATTATCATCACAAGGTCGTTAGTCCTAAAACTGGTTGAACATGCACCTCCACTCTTTCCTATCCTGAGCTAACCTTAGCATTTCACTAAAACTAGAACATCCCACATCCTTAACTATTTGTGAACAGTAACCTAATCTAGGTGTAACTCTCTTCCACTTGGTGTCGTGTCCTATACCTACCTATGTATCTCGCCTATTTGTTATTGACTTATTTTTGTTAAAGGCGACTCGACTCTGCGCTATATTTTATATCCCTACTGCTCCTTCTATCTCGAGTTATTGGACTGTCTAGATACTGAAAATTAGTCACTTCTTCTATTTTTGCGTTTCCTATCTTTATACTCATTCCTTACTTTGTCTTCCCTTGTATGCTGGTATTTTTGTTTTACTTTTATTTCTTTTTGTACAATACTCTCTTGTTAATACCGCTTCCATTTTATGTAAGGTTATCTCTAACTCCTCTTTGCTAGATCCTAATACTGCTATATCATCCGTAAAAAGCACATTAATCTTTTGCCCCTGTATACGTATCCCTAAAGTTGTCCTGCCTTTATCACGTCTTCGAGATACAAATTAAAAATTATATTCTAAGTGTAATTAAAATAATTCAATTAATTTCAAATGTATATATTGTTAAATGACAGTTATCAAAGTATTTCGTATTATTTATAACATTTTTCTTTTTTATTTTCAGTGGAAGCAACCTATGCCGAAATGGTGAGTTCTCTTATTGCTTACATATTGCTTCTGAATCCCTTGACTGCCTGGAAGGGTAGTCGGAAAGTGCTTTCGGGGATTTTTTCTATCTTCCCTAAAACATCAAATGTACTTCTGATGACAAGTTCAACTTTTATTGATGATTTTGATAGGTACAGTAATATTCAAATGAAATGTTAATTTAAATTAAGACTCGTCAGTTAGTCGTAAAACGAGCTGAAATTCAGATTGATGAATAATTTTTTTACTAATTGGAAAATAAATGAAATACATACTTTCCCTAGTAAAATATATATTTAATGCAAAAAATTATACCTTTTATAATGGTCACAATTAACAGGGTATTATTATTCGATAAGATACAGAAATTAGGAATAATAAGATTATTCTAGACATTAGGATGCGATCGATTAAAACATTAGTTAATAATTAATCAAAATTAATTTTACTGAAGGCACCTTCATTGAAATCTATCGTCGAGAGTTTTCCAAAATGTTAGATTATCTCTGGAGAAAGCAGGGAGAGACAAGCAAAAGAATTGTTTTTGAAAATTTCTTATATCGTTTTCCTGTATGTTACAATTTTCACATCAAGGATTTCCTTTTAAATATTTCAGTTCTATTTATATAACCTATATTAAATCGGCTATACTAAAATCGATTCATACATTCACAGAATGTTCTTGACTATTTCCAGAATGTTTGTTTGTCATGCAGTCTGCGTATGTCGTTTCGGTGTATGATTTATGGCAATGGGCCACCCGCATACGAAGATTCAATCGTATCGATGGTCGCCCGCGGCACTCACTCGCAACAGGATATTAATAAAATATATATTTAATGCAAAAAAT